CCCCCCCCCATGTATGTGGAGCTGGGCTTTGAAGAGATTAGTAACATGGACCTACCTTGAAATGTTCTAACCTCAAAATAACCGTTTTGAATTATATGAGTATAAAATAAAACAGGTAAGATTAAGTTTTCTTCACGGAGGAACAAAACATGCTATTTGCTTCAGGGTTGAAACTAAATAAATAAATAGGTGGTCTTGTTTTGAGTATCCTGTTCCAGGCACTGTGATTTATTGTTTAGTGGCTTGTCTTTTCCAAGATCTCCCAGCCTAACTAATTTAGCAGTGGAACCCTGATGCTATTGGTTTAGACTGGATAAGATGATGTGGGAACAAAATATTAAGAGGAAGGTAGAATCTAAGCACATGCTCAGAGAGAATATGTAAGAGAGTAAGGTACAGTAATTAAAAGAAAAGCAAAAACTTTTGTATAGGGAAGTTATAACTGACATGGATTGGTAGTCATGGATTATAGGTGTTTTGCGCTATGATTTATTTTGCAGGTAGATAAAGCAAAAATGTGTTCATACATTCATTACTGTGCTTCACACATATTTCTAATGCTGCTGAGGTTGGTTAAATTGCCCAGTTTGCTTGTGCTAAAGCTCTTTTTAGCAAAGGCTCATGAGCAACCCGGTATTTATTCTAGCTTTCTATTTCTTAAATAGAAAACAGAATTTTCACTAGATAAGAGTTGTACTCCCATTATTTCCTCTAGTGATTTATTTTAAAGTTTAAAAAAATACTTAACGAGCCATCCCTTTGGCCAATTTTCCTGCATTTGGGGTGGTAATACCATGCAGGAAGCATCAACTGGTTCTAAATTCCCATTATTTCCTATGACAAACATGGTTGAAACTTTTCAAGTTTTGTTCCAATGAAATTTGGAACATTGAAGTCATTATAAGCTTTATTCCATCAGAACACAGACAATGTGAAACATCCAATTGGATATTTTGTGTGTAACTGTTTTGTTCCAAGTTTATTGTTTTCTGTTTTGTATATATCACTGAATGGCAATTAATAATTTGGTTGCCAAATCTATCCTGCAGCTTTATACATATTAGTAACCTCAACTCATACAGTAAAAATTTGCAAAATGCTGATCTATTTCAATAAATGCATCCCCAACTTTGAAATGCTAATGCTAATAATAAAAGTAATTAAATTTTTCCAACCTGAAATATTGTGTGGCCAAGAAAAATGAGTTTGTCCCTCTCAAAAAGTCCCTGGCTGATATAAATGAAGGTGAAATATGTTATAGCTTCTGTCAAGTTGGAGATGCGCTCCTGGATATCATCTGATGCCTCTGCTCGCTCAATGGCTTTATGAAATACATTGTTGAAAGCCTAACAAAACAAAACAAAACAAAACAAAACAAAACAAAACATACATTTTTTTCAAAGTTTCTGTTTGGTAAGGAATGTTTTTGGCAATATACTAATGACTTCTGTAATTATAGGTGTAAAGGTTTAGGCTACATGAAAAATTATCAGCAACATATAAGACTTCTTGACAAAGAAAATGGCCACCAATCAGGTCCTAATTGTTTTTCAAGAAAGTGTTCTCCCTTGGCTTTATGAAATACATTGTTGAAAGCCTAACAAAACAAAACAAAACAAAACAAAACAAAACAAAACATACATTTTTTTCAAAGTTTCTGTTTGGTAAGGAATGTTTTTGGCAATATACTAATGACTTCTGTAATTATAGGTGTAAAGATTTAGGCTACATAAAAAATTATCAGCAACATATAAGACTTCTTGACAAAGAAAATGGCCACCCCTCTTTTCAAATATTGTACTTCAATCTGTGTTTTATCTGCTGCATTTGGAATGTACTAGAATTTTAGTATTCTGAAACAAACATAATAAGCATAGATACACAGATATAATTCAGCAATATTATAAACTCAAAAGAAAAAATTGAGAAAATACTTCCACAAGTAATTCAGTCCTCAAATTTAAACAAAACTATACTGCATAAGAGCACTGAGGGAAACGATAGAGTGGGATCAGCACACTCAGGAATCCTTAATTTTGCAGAACACAACCCTTTCTTTCTCTCTTGATCTTTCTACTAGATCAAAAAGCAGATATTATAGTAATAACTTTTTTTGTGAATAAAATGTTAAAATTCCTTAGAAAAATTTCTTCCAAGTCCCAGAATGTTGTCTAGCTCTTTTAGCTGAACAAGTTAAGCTTCAGAAACCAATGTCAAGGGAGAACACTTTCTTGAAAAACAATTAGGACCTGATTATTGCACTGTAGAAATTTCTATGAGTAAATGAGGTAGGAAATAAATAAAATAAAATAAAAAAAATAGAATTTGAGAACTTCCATACATCACAAAGAAATTATGGAATCACAAAGAAAATATGGAAATTACAAACACACCTTGGTTTAGAAGGATCTCCAGGGAGTATATAAAAGGCAATGTGATGATCTGGATGGGATGTGTGATGATTTTGTTATAAAGGGAGTAGGTTTTACCACACTCACTTGATATACTGTAGTCTCTGAGGAAGTATATGTATTTAACTTGAAGTGTTTTATGAATCTGAATGGTTCTATTATTAGGAAGAAAGAGGTCTTCAGGCATGGAATTGTTGATTCTTTAAAGCAGGGTTCCTCAATCTTGGCAACTTTACGATGGGCGGACTTCAACCTTGCTGGTTGGGGAATTCTGGAAGTTGAAGTTCACCTGTCTTAAAGTTGCCATGGTTGAGGAACCCTGCTTTAAACTATATACTATTATTGGATTTCTGTTGCCAGGAATAGAAGGAAGTATTTGTGCAATTTGATTCCTCTGGTGCCAGAAAAGTCTTGAGTTAAGAAAGAGAAGCACCATTTGTGGCTTTTTCTCAGACTGTGGTTGTAAATGTGTTTCTCAGAGCCTGGTTGTAAAAGTACCAGGCTACAAGATTTTAGAAATGGATGCACTGGGAGGCAATATGCTGACATGAATTTTAAATGAGTGGATATCTAATTTGTGTTAGAAACATTTGGAGCAGTGATTAAAAAAAAAACCAACCCTCTGCAAGGCAGAGTGTTACGTTAATCAAGAATGAAGGGTCAAAAGAATAACAAATGAAAACAGATTTTCCCTTAGCAGGGAGACAAAAATCAGCTGACTTTTGTACAAAGTTTAAAAGAAAGATGGATTCATTCTAGGGAGGCAAATGCCTTAAAATATTAACATACTCACAGTCTTTGAAGAATTCAGGGGACCTATATCATGATATGGTCACATAATAACAGACATTTTTAACATTTTTAAAACCCATTTGCAAAACTCTGATGTAGGGGAGAGGAAATAATAAAGTCTAATGTGAAATGATCAAGTCCTGGAATGTTGGATGTCATTTGTTTTTCTCCTCAAACAAACAAACAAACAAACAGAAAAGAAATGGAAAAGACATGGATGGAAAAGGTGGCATGGATGAATTACTGGAAGACACCATAACTGGCTGAAGCCTGGAACAGAAAATGAGAAAAGCCTGGATAGGGTTGCTTGCAGTAGCTTGGAACAATTTTAATATTGTGATGTTCTCTTCCAAGTTGCTTCTTGTTACTATATCAGCCACTGACACTGGAGAATAGCAGCAGATTCTAAGAAGATAAAGCAACTGTTGCCAGTCCTGTACAAGCAATTCTTTACCCATCTCACATTTCTCTGGCTAGAAATCTTCTGCAAATTTTCAGTATAATATAAACTTGACTTAATATGTGGATCATAAAAACAGGAGGGCCAAATAAGTGACTTCAACATTCCAAAGTTATCATATCACTTTCCAACTTTCTGTGCATATGATTGCTGATAATCAAACTGTTTGCAGCTCTGCATTTACTTTTACTTTCAGAAACAGAGCAAGAAAAAGTTAAAGTACCTTAAGTGAAAACTGATAGATGGGATTGATTTTGCTCAGATCTTGAATGACGAAATAAAGAAGAGATGCTCTTGCAGCTGCTGGTCTATAATGCTCTCTGGCTTCATTAATATTAACTTCATTTTCTTTGGCTTCTGCAGCCTGTTTGATAACAACAAACAATTCTGTAACATAATTACTGTTACAGAAAATCCACAAGAACATTTAAGCTGCAGTCTTATATAGAACTACTCGGGCAGTAGTTAAAAATAAGAATTGTACAGATGGACTAGCATATAATTCACATTGGTTAATTGTTGAACTGCTAAATCTTTATTAATTTTTTTTAAAAAAGCATGCTTTAAAATGAGAACTAAAAATACTAGCATCTACAACGAATCTATAGCTGTTCACGACTGTTGATGTATTGTTTTGAAGATATCACTTATGATACAAAGATCACAAGTGATAATTTCCAGTCTCTAAGAAGCTATACAGTTATTTCAGGTATGGAAGATAAGAATGATTAGATGAAAACTGTAAATAAACAGCTATAGGACTTTACAGGTCAATTTCCAAAATAATATGGTTTACACAGAAATGGCAGTCTCAAAATGATGGAATTTAAATCCATGCTTTTTAAATCTCATATAGATCTGTAAGTGTTGATGGTCATAATACTGTATGTTAGAATATTAAATTGTATTGTATTAGTCAATAGATATTTTATCTGAGTAATATGGTTTTACTTTCATAGAATTATTATAACAGAAGAAATCTCTACCTATTTTCCTGACAGCCCAAGTAAATCAAACTTGGCACAACTAGGCAAAATTGTAAAAAAGCACTGGAAAATATCATTTTTAAACTTCTGAAAAACAATTTTCCCCATTTTTCTTTCAGTGCACTATTGCCAACTTCAAACTAAAAGTGTAAGTGGGTGGGAGGTGCCATTTATTAATTTCATTGAATATAATCTAGAAAGATACATCACTTCTTAAAAATGTGGCACCTCTTCCTAAAGTCAAGCTTCTAATAAATTGGAATAAATTATATATAAAAAAATTCCTATGTATAGAACTGATGCAGATTTCAAGGACAGTGAATTGATCTCTAAAATGCTTCTATGATGTTGGAAGGCTTGTGATTCCTCCCCTCTCCCTCAATCAACTTTTAAAGGTCACTGGCTAAGTGGGTTCAATATCATAACAATAGACACTGAGCATTTAAAAAGGGGAGGTCAGGCCATTAGCCATCATGGTAAATTCATCGTCTTCCAAGGCTTCCCATAGTTTTTCCTGTTTTGGGACATCACACTGCCAAAACCTACATGACACAGGAAGGAAGGAGATCAGCCTTGTATATCTGGATTTGTCTTCAGATAAATATGTATTGGTAATTAACAAAATCAAACCCTAAAGCTGCAATACCTTGAGTTCTATCTCCGCCGCCATTGATTTTGTTGTCTCAAGTTTCTCCACAAGGTCAGTATCTCCTAAGAAACTGCCTTCAGCAGCAGAAAGGCGGAAAAGTAGATCATCCTCTAAGACCTTCAGTTGAATTTTGAAATCATTCTGTTGTTTTGTCAGAAGAGACTAGCAAACATAATGAAGAAGTTTGGTTTAAAATAGGGATTATTCATGGGAAGAATAATTTAGGACTTCAGATACTCTGACTGAAGCTACATTATTCCTGGCTATTGTCCATTTTGCAAGAGCTGATAGGCATTGCAATTCAACAGTAACAGAGCAGCCCACCTTGCCTAACCCTGACCAAATGTGTAGCAACAGTGACATCTGGCTATGATGAGGATACCAGTGTCATATATAAAGGCTGTGTTCAAAAAATAGCCTCAAAGCACTTCTTCATTATACCTATCTCAAGTCAGACCTACTTGACAAATTGTTTCAAATTCTTCCCTTCTCTCCAGTAAAGATTTCCTTTAAGAATATATGATGCCTTTCCATATATAGACAAATCAAAGTTATTAATGTGTGTATGAGTAATGTGTGTGTGAGCTCATATTCACAAACCCATTTTAGGGAAGAATGCCAATTCAGACACACAGTTTCAGGACAAAAGGCAATATCAAATGAGGAGTAACAAAAGTAAGTGTAAAATGAGAGAGAGTGCAGCTGTTAGTAAATCCTTCATTTTAGCTTACAACCTGGGTGTTTTTCATAAGTATTTCCCCTCTCCCTTCCCCTTTTAGACAACTCAATGTTCTGTGGCAACAATCAAGGTTACAATATTGGTAATTATATAAAAAGGTAAAAATACAAATTCAAATTAATGATAAAATAGATATTAAAATTATATAGCAATTAAACAGCTGGCAGAAGAGTGGGAACAAATCCTCAGGGAATAAATTCCATAGCTTGGAAGCAATACAGAAGACCTTCTCCAGCAGGGCAGAAACTTTGGCCTCTGACAGTAGGGAATCCTTCCCTGTAGATCTTAATAATTAGAGAGATTTGTTAAGATGTTCATAAGTTAGGAATCAGTTAATCCAATGCTTCATAGCACTGACCCGATCACATATATCTGGACAGCTGGGATAGAATGCAGGTGGAAGTCCATAATCACAAGGGATCCCAAATGTACATTCATATACATATTCTTCTTTAACTGATCCACCATACACAGTTCTAGTTGACTAAAGAGTCTTGCCACCTAATATTTCTGATCAATGAAAGTAGTAGCATATCAAGATAGGGAATATTAGTTTAGTTGCCTAGGTTATAAATAAACTTACCTATTTAGATTAAAGGAATGAGAGATTACATTGACTTTTGGTGATTATCATCTTATAACTGAATCTAATGGACTGTGTGTCACCATAGCATCATGTGGATTTACCTTAACTGTCTCCAACTCAGGTCGTTCAATACTAACAGCCTCAGCCAACAACTGGTCTTCCAATCCATCCTTTGTGACTGTGAAATTAATTAGAGTGGTCTGAGCCTGCAGCTCTGGTTTGTAGTGGGGGTTGGCCAGCTTAGTGTGAAGAATGAGACGGAAATTATTGTTGAATTCACATTCTCTGTCCTCAATTTTGATATACCTGAGATTGATTAAAATGAAAATCATTACAATGTTGAGTCCCAAATAATGTAGTTTTGTAGGATTACATGCAAAAAGCATGTCAAAGGGGCCCTAGCATGGCTCACATTATTATAAATAAAACTGATGCTGTGCTTTGCTTTCCAACATGCAGCTTTCCATTATTATTTTTTTAAATCATCTAACAAAAATTAAATTCAGAGGGGCATTTATGCATTCCCTGTTTAAATGCATGAAGTATACTTACAGGTGTCATAACCAATTTTGAAAGTGCACTGCACACTTCAAGCATGGGAGAAGGGAAAGCAGACACACAAATATAATGCATTGGGGAAAAATAAAAATAAAGTTCCAGCCACCTGTCATTCACCAGTCAGGATCACAAATCACCCTGGTCTCTGGCCTGTTTAAAAAGCTAGGTTTTTAGAACTTTTTTGAAGGGCAACATGATCGGGGCCAACCGAATTTCTCAGGGGATGGTATTCTAGCAGGTGGGACAGCTACAGAGAAAGTATGACTGCAGGGTCCCACAAGATGGCACTGTTTAATCTATGGCACTCGGAGCATGCCCATCCGATCTGATCTTATGGGACAGGCAGAGAGAATTGAAGAAAGGTGGCTCCATAAATAGAATGTAATATACTGAACCAATCCTAAGATTGGCTACAAAACTATATATCAAAATATTGTTCCCTTTGCATGGTTAGATTTTTGTCATAATAATTTAAAAATCGTTATACAGTTTGAATATATCATAAAATGTCTATATATATTCACAGAACATATGCTGAACTTCTACAATAAGTGCTCTGCTGCAAGGGAAAATGGAAGACTGATTTCAGAAATTGGCAATAGAACAAAGAGGGCAATTTTGTAACTCACTGTTTTCCTTTATTTACAGAGAAACTTACCTGGGGAACAATAACAAGCTATTGCAATGCTAAAATGCCTCATTTTAAAACGAGTTCTGGAGCCTTATACTAAAATTGCACTTTATATGTGCTCAATGCTCAGAAGTAATAAATTATTTCCAATTTCTGTGGTTATCAGCTATGAAAGGCAAGCACTGCACAATGATTCAGTGAGTTTTATCACTATAGCTATGTTGGGTTTTTTGGTTAATTGCAGATTTGGGAAAAATAAATGTTTGTGCTATTGCTCTCTTATGGTTCAGCTATGATATCAGCCAAAGAAGTAGAGGGGAAAAGATGACAGAATTAATTCATCCAATTCAATAAAAGACATTTATGTAGAGGTTAACAGTGGAGTTCAAGGTATAGTAACCATGGATTTTTTTTTCAAAATTGCACACAGCTGATGTGAATAGAATCCTTAGAGAAACTGTGATAGAGCAATCTTTCACCTTCACATAGTGAAATTTATATTGGCCAACTCTAGAGACCTTTATAACACAATGGAGGAATATCTCTGTTCACCTACACCTACACACTATAGATTTCCATAGTGACCTTGTCTCAAATCTTTTATATACACAAATATTCTTGTGCAGGAAGAGAAATGCAAAGCTAAATTAAATGAACAAATGGATTTCTTGCTCTTTGCTCTTATATCATTCTTTAATGCATATATGAACAGAAAGGGTAAACAATTAAACAATTATTTGCTCTCAGAAATCATTGTATCCTAAAGACATTGAGCTTCTCCACTTAATACAACAAGAGGGTATTACCACAGGATACCTATGAGAACCCAAAGACTTGTTGAGATAGGAAAAATGTAGAAAACATACTAAACAAACTCCATCAATTATACAAGTCCTTTTTCAAGAACATGTAAAAAGCCCCATTTCAAAACCTGCTATTTGAAATTAAAAGTTGCCAGATCCAACTTCTGAATCCAGCTGCTAATTCAGAGAGTGAATTGTAATGGATCAGGTATAGAGAGAAGTTGTTACAATCACAGGAGGCAGACTCTACAAGTTGATCAAACCAGTGGGGGGAGAGAGAAGATTTAAACAAAAAGGTGAACAAGTCTGCATCAGGTTCAAGGCAAAGAGTATCATTTTCTGTACAACAACTGGATTATCTTGCTATTGCATGAAGGGATACAAAAGAAAATATCATCTCAGCTAGATGAAAACTTGTGTTTAATATCAGATACTTTATCAGAATGAAACAACTATCAATATTGCTCATTTGAAGTATAAGGTATGTTTCATAGACTTTAGTATGGCAATCTGCACACCAATTTGGATTGTAGAGTCCTCCTGGTAGCTGGTTTCTTTTCACCAAAGCATATGTAGAAAGAACTTACTTCCACACTTATGCACAGAACCAACCTTGTTGCTTGTGAGACACCAATAGACATATACAATAATATATTGCAAATGAAATTGGTTTAAGGTTCCTAAAAGTGGATTGGGAACTATATAGCACATAGGCATTTTGTAAGGAGATGGACAGGGCTGGCCCTAGGTTTGATATGATTCTTAGAATAATATTTTCTGGTCGGCTCCATCGTATGTCAGCATAATTGACTTCTGGAGGGCTTACATGGTGGTTAGAAAAGACTCCCAGTGCACTTGACAGTAAAGCTTCAGCAAGTACACAGATTAACCAGTTTTGAGAATGAGAATGCATTTTTCTACCTGGCATTTGGATATTGCCAGAGTGTGATTGAGGGTTCTTTTAGAGGGGTGCGTGTATGTTTAAGGACAACAATTACTTCACAGAGATGGTAGAGGGTTAGGGTTTTGTTTCTTTTACTATGTACAAGCATACTTACAGGAATTAGTGAAAAAACAGAATTATTTATAGCAGAGTGTCCAAACTTTCCCAGTCTCTAACTTTGTCTACCTCTCTCCCAGAGCTATTTGCTAGCAATCACCAGCTCCGTTGCTTAGCTACCAACTCCCCCCTTTCTCCTCCTTCATCCCTCTCAGCATTTCACTATGAAACAGGGAATTGACTGAGTTACTTTGGAGTGTGCTTAAAGACTTTCATCCTGCTTTTTCAGACTTTGTCAGCTGTCCCACTGCATAGACTTTGTGTGATGCATCTCTCTCCGGGTCTTCTGCCCAATCCTTCCTGGTCTGGGTTTGCAGGCATCCCACTCCCTCTGTCCCTGTCTGCCTTGGTTTTTGGGTGACACATATCCCTCTGTCTGAGTTTTTACTTCTTTTCTCCCAGAGAAGCCTCTGGCTGACGTCTTTACCCTCTTCTCCCTCTGGGTCCAGGAACTGGCAACTGCACACTCCAAATCAGTTCATGCACAGTGCTGTCTCTCTCCAGCCACCAACTTCCTGCACAGTCTTTCCAAAGGCATTTTCTGCCTTGATGCCTCCAAGCAGAATAGGCTCAAATGTGGCAATGTGACTATCTTTTATCTCTTCCCTCTTTCTCATTCCTTTTACCTCTCAATCTGGCAGCATGACCCCCAACAACTGAGGTAGTGCCCCCCCCCGAGGCTTTAATCCCCAAGATTTATATTGTATACTGGGCTTGGCCAATCAAAATGTTGCCTCCATCTGCCCCACAATGGTCCTGGCTAGCAGCCAGAGCTGCTCATCTGCCCTCATAATAGCACAGCTGCACTCCAAGGTTATATTTGAGCTTCCTCTCCCCACTTTTTCTCTTTCCTTCTGCTGACCCACACCAGCACAATAGCAGCCAGCCTGGCCAGAAAACCCATATAATGCAGATGCATATTATCCATACATGAACATAGTAGTACTACACCTTTGAGTCAAGGTGCTTGGAGATGCTTCCAGTTTATCAGACTTTTATTAGTACTAACGGCAATCTGGATGCTGAAAACATTGTAATCTGGATTTCAGGATTTTCTTTCATAAATTTTAATCTTCACAACAACTTTCCAAAAGTAGAGGCAGCATATAATTTTGAGAAGCTTCACAGATCATGAGGTCTGATAATATGCAAAGCCAGTAAATTTGCTTTGGAAGGTACATATGCTGATAAATCTTTCTAGTAACACTTTCTGTCGATTGATATCATAAGATATATTTTATTTAAAATTAGGATTGTCTGAAGCTCAGTAGATCTAATTATTTGTAATTACCTAGTTGTTGTCAGTATGTGGCCCTTTTATGACAGCAGTAGCCGTAGTAGGTCAGGTTCATCTGTATATCTTTTCAAACATAGAATTAATGTACTATTGATAAAACCATTACTAGAACCAAATTAAAGTCTGAGCTGATGTATTGGTCCATAGGGTGCTGTCAGACATGAAAGGAGTAATTAGTATTCATTACTTCATACTCTGCAACATTCCAATTATTAATGAACTTCAAACTGTTGATCTGCATCATATCTATCATAAGCATCTTTCTTTATTACAAGAGGATGGGAGAGGTAGAGTGTGAGTGGGAGAAATACTGACAATTACTAAAATAAACAAAAAGTACAACCTGCTGAAAACTTTGTAAAGCTGGTTTGCATGTTTTTGCTCTTCTGTAGCCACAGAAGGTGAATACAACAACTGATGAATTAGTCCGTGGATTACGTTGTTAAAAGAACACATGGAAGGAGTTTCACTACAGAGCAACTGAAGATTGTTTGGTTTCACAGAGAGAATGAGGTCAGTCTATTGCAACAGAACAGCACTTAAGAGATGTTCGTGTTTATAGTGATACTTGATTGAGATTGATGAAATATAGTCTTTTTGCGCCAAGTTGCAAAAGACGTTACATGTATGTACAGACACTATTTCAATTTGCAACATTAATCATTTATTGCCAATTACTGCTGCTGTACATAATTACTATCTTATCTACATTTAAGCTTTGTAAAAAATGATAATAGATGATGTTATCTATCATCTAGTTTCAAGGCCATGAAGTACAAGAAACTAAAAAGGTCATTGTATTTACCTTGTATACATTTGAGCTTTTCATAGAAATGCCTCAGATGGTACTTCTAACAATTTAATAGCATTTTGGTATGATCATTTACCAATTTCTATACCTATATAACATGTAGGTATGTATCTGCCCATCAACTCCAACCTGAGAGTATATTACATATATCTGAAAGAACTGATCCTACTTCAGAAAAGGACAAACAATAAATCTGCTAGCTTTAGTGTTACCCAACCTTTTGAATGTGCACATAAAGCATATGTATATGCTTTACATGCATATATATGCATGTTGGAAACTGGAACTTTTACTTCTATTTTCTCACATGAAGTCAGAATTGAATAAGTGCAATAAAAATTCCTGCTCAGTTATTAAATTCACTGAGTAAGTTTACCTCCATCACTACTCATGAGTCTTAATTATCTCAGAGAAATATATATTGAAGAGTGAAAGTTTGAGCACTTTCAAATAAGAAAGTAATAAATTGCTTAATTAAATAGCATCATAATACACAGTAATCATCTTTAAAAGTTATACCCACTACTATCTGATGAAGTATAGAATGTAGTTTCCATTAAGCTATCAAGGTGCAGCCAACACCCTTGAAAACTCGAATTTAACATTGGCCATATTCATTTTCTAAACACATACTAAGTTGGTGCAATATAGTGGCAGTGCATTACAATGTATTATTTGAACCTGATAATAGCAATAGTATTAGATGATGGAATATAGTAAAAGCATATTAAAAATGCAAAAAAAATCCTGAGGCAATTAAAAACCAACAATTAAAGCATGAGGGAGGAACCAGATGGCTTCTATGAACTATACCTATTGATAGAAATTTTGCAACCTTTTTAAAGGTTTCTGAGGAGTGTATACCCAAAAGAAGAGTAATGCCTCTTGGTCACAATGACAATTAAAGTTGTTGACAATTGGGAATATTAAATTCAATCACCACTGGATGTACAATGAATATTTTAACAATGGTCTTTGCTCGACAGAAACAAGTACATCTTTCATATGGGAGACTTATGGTTCTATCAATTGCTCCCTTATAAGTAACACCTTAATTTCCCACTCCTTTCATAGCACAATTGTCTCCCCTCCCTGGACTATCCCTAGATATTTTTCGCTATTTTTTCATTTATCCATATACATTTCTTATATAAATATCTTATGACGACACCTTAAGCTAGAATGCAAAACAAAATGTAATGAGAAAAAGAGTAACATTGTTCTCAGAACAGTACTTACAAAAGAAAGGCAATCACAAATACCACTTCTGTACTTTTATTTTCTTCAGAAAGTACTTACTTTCCCTTTTTAACTGTGTTTCTTCCAAGCAGAGGATCAAGCACAGGGTCTATTTTTTCATCCAAGTTTTCAATCAGGACAACATCTCCACAAGCCAAAGTTCTTTCAATAGTTTTCAAGAACCTTAACATGAAACCATAAAATAGGAATTTGCCCAAGGCAATCAATGAAAAGCATAGCTGAACATAATTATTGATTCTCTCCATAGGACTTTTAAAAACAGTGCTAGCAGAGATCCAAGCATTGCTAATCTACTTACCACCAGATACCTTGAGTGATTTAAGGTGAAATAAATTGAGCAATTTCTTACCCAATAATAGATAAGTTTCCCACTCTATATGTCAGTTATCAATGCAAATGGAATTAATTGTACCATGCTTTCATTTCCCATGATCTCACCCTTCAAGAAGCTTAAGGTTTGTTAGGAAGCCAAGTTCTTTGGCTTAATCTTTTTATATTTTACTCCCCTAGCTGAATATAAAATTGAAAGCAACCAGCTCATATACCTTTGTCTCAAACATACCTGGGGCAGTTTCTTCAACTGAAGAAAGTCCCTACAGTAAATTTAGAAAATTCCTATTGAGTTTTTGAAAACAGAAACCAAATAACTTTCTCTAAAATCATGCTCAAGTTAGGTAGCCAGTTTAACAGTGTAACAACACCCAACACATTGGAAAGTAATCAGAACAGTGGCATATTTGATAAGTGCAGATTAATCTCTTCTGAAACACCCACCCACCCATCCAACATGTACTTTACTTTACATATGCTAAATGACTTTGGGTGGCCAGGAAATGTGTCATGGCTGTTATCCAATCTGTACTTACCCCTTCTGTCCTAGATTCATGATTTTAAGATCAGTTCCATATTTATTCTTTATCCATTTAATTGCTTGTAGTTGAGGATCTATGAGAAGTGGCCAGCGCTCGCAGTTTGTTAGAATAGCAGCATTTTCTGTTGACATTTTATCACTGGGTAATCCTTCATTATTCCATTTTGCGATCATTGCATCATCAGTCAACATGGCAACTAGATCTAACTCTGTACTCGTTGGAATAGGAATCTTGAAAATAAAAAAGAAATATTTTTCTATAATGTGTCCAGCCTTATTATAAGTCATAATCAAAGAAGCAAGAATCACTCAGATTTCAGTAAGGAGTTTTAATGTGAGAATTAGATAATGCCAGAATCTTATAAACTGCAATAGGAATCTCCAGCCCTAATTTCTGAGCGAGTTCATTAGTATGGAGTCTGTTTCAAGTTTTGAAACTTTTCTTCTCGAGGTTTCTGCACACAGATTGAGCTGCTGTTTACTTGATAAGCTCTCCCATCTGTTGATTGTTTTTCTTTAGAGATCTTGCCATTTCTTTCTCAGACTCTTCACAATCTGTCGCATAATGTTTACAAAAGACATGACAAAACATGAATAAGAGTATCAGAAATAAAACAGCTGGCAATAATATATCCCTATACTATTTGGTAAACTAGCTTCTTTTTTTTGCAAAATATATTTTCATTTAAAAACAACAACAACAACATGCCAGCAAAACATGGAGGTACAAAGATTCAATGCATTGGAAGAACTTACTTTTTGCAATTTCAGAAATGGAAGCCACATACGTTCCACCAGCTCTTGACGATAAAGCTTAGTAAAGGGACCAATGTAAGAAACAAAAGCAGCTGTTAACAAAACATCGCCACACGCAGTTATTTCTTGTTCTTCAAAGGATTTAATTGAGTGGCTCCAACGAATATTTTCAGACTGAAAGACAAGTTATAGAATAGGAGGGGGGGGGTCACCTTATGTGTATTTCTATTTGGGCAAAATACAAAAGAGGTGCTTATCCTCCCCCCCCACCACCAAAAACACCCTCTAGCATCTCCAAATGAGGATGACTACTGACTCCAATAAAGCTAATAGTTACTTGTTTCTTCTTGTGGGACAAGTTCCAGGTGCAAAATGCAGATCTTTCTTTTTCCTATAAGAACGGAGTGCTTATGGTACTTTGGAGGTGGGAAAGACTGATTTCAGAATAACTGCTGGACAGTAAGCAGAAATTCCTTCATTTCAGTGGTGATAAATGTTGGCATTAGTGAGAAAATGTCTTGTTATGAATAATCACATAGTATAACATGTGCAACAATAAAAGTTTATCTGAATTGTATCCTATCTTTCTGCTCAGATATTACTTCATAGTTTTGGTAACACTTGCTAAATATGATAGAATATTTAATCTGTCCTAAAGTTGCCAAATATGAAGTAGCGGTCTGCATGATGGATCAGAAAGAAATGGGATCATATTCCTAGTCAATTCTTCTCAGCCTACTTTACAGTAAAGAGAACAACATGCATGCCTTAAATTTCTTGGAGGAAAAAAAATGAAAAAAATGTAGTAAATAAGAAAGGCATGACCACAATTTATTAGTTTTGTTTTTTGTGCTGTGGGGCAGATTAGGCTAAAAGACGTAGTAGTTTCAAGATCATGCAGTGAGTGGGGATTTGAACCCAGAAGTTGGTAATGCTGTTCAAATTTAATGATATAGCAACTATATATCCAGTGCTTCTCTGAAGGAATGACTAAAAATTCAGCATCTAATTAAGTAGAACTGTTGTTTATTAGGCATAAGCAAAAGTTAAAAAAAACTAGTACTATTTGCAATTCTGTATTATTTCATTTTCAAACATTCTCACTTTTTGCAGAATACAAGAGTTACTTTCTTAAATCATCAACTGAAGCAAATCAAACAACAAACTCATTAACTTGCAAGGGACTTTTGATTTATCCATCTCTCCCCTTGTGGTCATTGGCTGGTAATACATAAACAATAAAGTGCCCCCCACCTCATTCTCAAACTAGTTTTGAAATTTGAAGATTTACTAAACATAGAATGATTGTCTATTTAAATCTTCAGTAATTTTACTGTACTGTTCCACCATCATAAATCACAAGTGACATTGGCTAACAAGAGTTTAAGAGTTGGAACATGCAATGTAATAAATTTCCAGACAGTTAAAAATCACTATAATTTTATTCTAATGCATTATAGATTGCCTGTAATATCATCCTGGCCGGGGTGACCCATTTCTAATTTTGAACAGCTGTTCAGCTCGGGAGTTAGTTAATGATTAAATATAAATTGCCTGATTTATTAGGCTGAATGGTTGAGCTTCCAGGTCAATGCTATATAGACAAAATCATCAGTCTTGATGCTTTTTAGAAGTTAACTATCTCCTGTTCAAGTAAAAAAAAAAAAAATTCTTCAAGGAAAGGAGTTGGGGCTCTCAATTAATTTTCCCTCTTTCTTTGCTTACAGAACAGTAATCTACAGGAGAAAAAAAATCCCATTATTGTGTAAAAATGTTTTTATCAGCTGAAATAACAAGCTGAAACTCAGAAAAAGTAGCATGTAAGATGTCTTAAGACATTGCAGGACCTAATGAAGGGCATGAAAATGGCTTTTATTTGACTAGAATCTTTCAAACACAGGCTATATGCTAGTGATAAATTTTACTATTTTGTCATTTAAATACATTATCTAGAGGATATGACTTGTAATTAGCAGGTCATCACAAACATAAATAGTAGTACTTTTAATTTAAGCCCACACTGGCTTCTCTAACCAAGTCTGTTTTAATTTGCTATATGATTTCCAATGCTAAATCATTTTGTACTAAAAAAAAACAAACCAGAGGACTTTTTAAAGATAACTTTCTTACAACTGTAAACAAAAGCTATATAAATTACATATCCATCTTTCACCAGTATTGTATTATTGCATGTAGCATTATTAGTCATTTACTGAAAATCAATATATAATAAATGATAACTACTGACTGGAGTCCAGAGAAATACATGGAGCAATTGTCATGCCCAACTACAAACCACTTTTCAATTTTCATGGTGTTATTCTGAATATATATTACATATGAAACAGAAGACTCCATTCTTTTGAATGGATTTGTGTTTACTTAATACACACTGTGTGGTTTGTTGTCTAGAAATTGTCCATTAAATAATCATCTGTTTGATATGACATTGCTTTTCTACAAACATAAGTAATTATAACACTAAATACCATACATATATTTTTGTTAGACATGCATCCTGTCCTTATTAGAAAATTAATAGGTTTTATGAATACAAGAAATAAACATTGTTACTATTGTATCCCCTTATCCAAAGGTTAAGTGCATTGTTGTATGGATAGTCCTGAACTGAGGCTTGTTCAGTCTCAGTGTTTATTAACCACAGTCTGACTATGCTGTCAGAAAGTATTCAGGCCTATGTGCAGATTTGGTGACTTACTTACAAAGAGTTTAAATTCAGCCTATATATAAAAAAATGTGACGCAAAGACAGCAGACTGTCATACATTCATTACATACGGGAGTCCAGAATTCCCAACAGAACTGTTTTTTCTTCCAAGAAAAAGCTTGATGCTTTTAACGGGAAAAAGGAGCTGTAGAGTAGCCCCAATACTTCATTGTATTAAAGCTTTCACTTCTCATGGTCTACTAAAACAGTATGAAGTTTTATCCAGTTTAGTCTGGGCAGCCTCCACTACCAATTAATTCAGAGGTGCATATTGAGAAAAAAAATACAATTTTCCTTTCAAATCCTGCAAGTTTCTTCTAATTTTTTTGATGTAAGTAAGCAGAATGGAGATTAGACACTCCCAAGTATCATGGCTGATTGGAGGAGCATAGGTAAAACTGGTTTGGCAAACAGGCAAACACAGATATAGATGAATTGAAAATTTGGAATCACCTAGAGATGCTTTACTGTAATGGACATCTAAGTCCAAAACTTCTGCAAAGCAAAACAGTTGTGAATATGACTGCATGTCTTCTGGCATAGAAAAGGCTTCCAACCTTCTATAGAGAGACATGCATGCCAGATGGGAGATATGCTCGACATACTGTATAATGGGGTATGTGGAGCTGATCTGCTCCTCCTGTAATTCAGGCTGAATTCATTGCTGGTATTGCCTGCAGAGTAAAAGTAGTCAAATATGGGGATGATTTGGTTCTAGAGGACATTGGTTAGTCTTGTTCATTTTTTTTTACCGCAGATGGACAACAGAATTTCCCAGCATTGGTTGGAAGGATACCTTGGAGATGGTGGAGCCAATGGTCACTTCAAAATAATTACAGCTGGTGCCTGCTTTGAGTGCTTATGTCCCTAATCCACTGATACTAAAAGTAATGAAGCTGATGAAGTTGATGGACCAGCATTGAATAAGGTTTTCTCCTGCAGATGCATCATGAGTTTGAAGATGGTTTGGACATACCTTTGTAATTGACAGTGCAGACAACAGTTTATAACGTGCCATTCCTTAAGCAAATTAAGCACACAGAATGACTACCTGTGGATAGCACTATATTTAAGACATTTTGAAATGCTTAGAAAGTCTTAGGAAACTGTCAATAGGAATGAACCACACCTTTAGAAGCTAAATGGATAGGCATGATTAGACAAGGTACACACACACACACACACACACACACCCAGAGAATGAATGAAAGTTGACTTGCCTGAAGTCCTTTAACAAGTCTGTTGGCTAGCTCAATAGTGTTATTGGTATGGCTGACTTCTTCTTGGCATCTGACTTTTTCTGCTGTTGCTTTTTCAAATGATGATGTCAGCTTGCACAGATTGTGGTCCAGTTCCTTTAAATTGGGAATGGATTAATTGTGTTTTACCATACTTTCATATATGAGCTGCCCAGAGTCACCCATTGGGGGAGATGGGCAGCATACAGATAAGATAAGATAAGATAAGATAAGATAAGATAAGATAAGATAAGATAAGATAAGATAAGCTGTTGACTCATCAGTACTACAGGCCACAACTACCATCAAATGTCCCAAACCTTTGAATTTACTATTGGTTCCTTCTTTCTCTTTCTTGCTCATTTATCCTGCCTATCATCATAATCTCATCCCTTCATTCTTGAAATTCATAAAACTCAACCAATGGAAAAAATATTTGTGGATTATTTTATACAAATGGCTGTTTATATAAAACATCAATTTCACAAAAATTGCTCATGGAGCTTGGAATGTAAGTTTAAAGTTTTTCCATCACTTCAAAGCAACTACATGCCTTGCCTAAAAGTTCTTGAACATATATGGCTGAGACACCAGCATTAACTTGATGGTTAGAGAGAAGATAGCCTATCGCAGGTCCCAAGTAAAATGAAAGAACTGATCACTTTCTATTGGCTTTATGGCTCATTTAGCAAAGTGAATATATGGGGAAGATTAAGGTCATTTCCTAAAAGAGATACTCATTCTTTAGCCTAAAAACACTATAAAAGACAAACTTATTTTGCAAAAGTTTTGATTTATGCTGAATTTTTCAATCACAAGAATTAAAAAAAAATCTAACCAAGGATTTTCAAGTTCCCTTTTAAGCCCCTGAATCTTTTGGAGGCAAAGACATAATCTATGTATACAATATACAGACATTTTGATTGCCAAGAATATAAAATTATTGAAAACCATATTTTTTTCAAACCACTCCATTTGAGTCAGGTATTAGTTGCATTTTGCTCTATTATAAGTAACATGGTTAGTTAGAGAGCTTACCTAATCTCAGGGTCTCAAAAAGCATTTTGGAGAAAGACATTACTAAATAATAACTCAGAAAATGATTAGAGGAAAATGTGGCAGCATTATAATACTGGGGAAAAGTGAAACTGTTATAATGCCTTGTTAGCCAGATGCACAAATGTGACTGGAATTCTTCTGGGTAATGAAGTATCTGGTCCAAATTTGTTTATGGTACTGATTTTAAAGATGACCCACTCTACATAGTAAAATGCCAACAGCTCCTCTGAGAGCTTTTAAATGGAGAGTGGAGCAATGTGGAACATTAACTGTGATCATATCATGTTTAATGAACTATGAACAAGTCTTGAATGCAGTGAATGGTAAGGAAACTAACATGGAGTACTTCTTCCCCCTCCCTTCCTAATTGAAGCACAGTATTTTTTGCCAGGACCAAAATATTTTGTTCGGGAGGAAAAGAAAAAAGGAAAAAGGAAAAGAAAAGAACACCAGATAATTAAAAGTTGTTCCCATTATTATTATTTTATATTATTATATTATTATTATTTAATATTATTTTTCCTGTCTATCTGTCATCAATTCAGGGATGATACAGATTTTAACCAATTTTAACCCTTAATCTCTATATAATATTCTCTTCCAATTTTAAGTGCTATCTTAACCCTATCTATTGTGATCCCAGTCCAAGTCCCAGGCACAACTATTCTTTGGCTATTTTTATTGCTGAATTGACCTCCACTGTCAACTGTTTCAATTGGACTTGTCTACTACAGTGCTGGGACTGCTGCTAGTGTTGCTTGACATCATCCCCAATGCCACACATTCTAGTACTAATTCTTGTTACACCAAGCTCTGGTTCTCCTGGTTTTAGCTTTGTGGTGATAGCCGTTTGGCACTGACTGTTCTGACTTTGCTTCTCTTGGTCACTTGTTGCATCTGGTCTGCTTTGACTTGAGCTGCTCTTTGGCCAGCACAAGCTTGACCCTTTCTTTAACCCACTCTCACTTGTCACTGTTTGGTTTGCTCTGGCATGATCCTTTCTGACCAGCTCTGGTTGATTCTTCCTTGCATCTGTTGGTGTTGTAACAGACAGTAATGGCTACTACCATTACCATGTTTACTATCTTCCTTAAGTTGTCTCGAGCTGCTATCAGCCATCTTCTTTAGGCATTACAAAGCCTCTCTTCACCACTGCTGCTTCTTTCTCCCAGTCTTCTTTTTTCTCCTGCTGTGTTCTCTCTGTCTAGCTGGAGTGGCTGCTGATGTGGCTGGCTTCTACTAATACTGCTGCCTGTTGGTACTGTTGGCATTGTCTGACTGTGGTAGCCTAAAAAAAAAAAATCTTTACCTCTCCGTATGGAAGAATTCTCTAATGGTCTGGGGTAACCCAAAGTAAATTTTGTTCAAGGAATTACAACTTTATTGTTAGTTTATACTGGTGCATAAAAGGTTGTCTCTATAAGACAATAGGCTAAGAAAGGATTCATAGGGTCATGTTGCTATTTATTTCAACTATATGAAATAGGATAGTATATTAAAGCTGGATCCATAACCACATCCAAAATTATCTTTTTTGATAATTTTGCCAGTTTCACAGATTTAGCCTGATTTACTGGTTTCTATTCAGTATGCTTATGGGATTAGAGATGAACTTCCCCTTATGTGGCATTTATTTATTTCTCATTATTGCGTTTGGTCCCTGTGAAAAATGGTTAATGTGAGTTTTCCCTTCCTTCCCCATTTTGTCCTAGTGAAATAGAATTATACAAGGGTTTAGTCCTGAGAAATCTCATATGGACCACCTGTGTAATGTAACTTCTATGGTTTGAGGTGGAGGAATTGTGAATTTTAAGGGTATTATTTTAATGCTATTATAATAAATATATTTTATGGCTAGAAAGTAAGATCTACTCCTGGATTGTCAAATATATGTTTAATAGCAGTATCTTGTTCCTATAAATCTGAACACGAACCGTGTGGGAAGGGCAATTGCTAAATGAAATGCAAATTCTCCTCAGCCACTAGTTAGGAAATGGAGCTTATCCCCCTATGTTTAAGCAAAAATGTGTCTTTTGACTACAAGAGAAGCCTTGTTTATATATTTAAAAGAAGAAATTTAGAATTGAATTCTTTCCCAGATATTTAACAATGCAAAGTATTTTCATGAAGAGACTTAGAAAAAGTATTTAAAAATGGTTACCATAATGTTCATTTTGCAGTGACAAAGATTAGTCATTTTGAAATGTATTTTAATGGGCATTAAAAATGATGGGTTGTTAGCACAGTACCATCCAAACTGATGATGTATTATTGATTGCCAAGTAATAGCTACAACGTTTATTAATCATTACAGAAAATTACCAGCCAGAAAAAAAACTTCTGTATGAAAAATTAGTGCAACATTTTCCATATGGGAAAGGATTCCATTGGAAATCCATGAGATAGGGTTGACTATCAAGGATTTTATTATTTTTTTTAAGGAACTCCGATACAGAATATGTGCATTATGCAGAGGCACTGAGAACTAAAAGCCAGTGAGCATATGGATCAAGGTATGGATAAAATGTACCATCCAATGGCAAAGTAACCGCACATAAGACAGTATTGAATTTTATCATAAACACAGCTAAATAATTAAAATTAGTATAAGCCCAGGTTATATTAATACATTTGAGAATAACCAAGATCTTTAATTATAGCTAGAAAAAGGAACTGATCAAAATAGCCTGCATTTGTTTTGCAAAAGGAATGCAAGGAATTTTCAGGTGGAAAAGGTACAATAATGGCAAATCCAACCACCTCTCATCTTTGACATTAAAATAACAGTCGCTATTCTAAAATGGTAAGGCAATAAAATCTTTTTCTTTACATACAGAACTTAGCATTATTACAAGAAGAAATCAAAAACACTCTATTTGCTTAGGAATGGAATGATGTTGGGACTGGAGTTATGCTTACACCGAGTTTTTTCCTGATGGCTTCCAGCTTTTCAGTAGCCGCTGCGAGTTCAGCATTTGCTTGGGCCAATGCTTGACGTTTGGGTTCCACATCGCAGTATACCTAGGAACACAAACAGTCCACAATTTCTTTCCAAAGCTGATTTATAAAACAGAAACATGTTACTGTTTTAAGAGTATCTATTCTGTATTTGCAGTAATTCATCAGACAATATTTCAAGTGGAATTGATTGCTTCTGCCCTTCTTTTCAAGATTTCTGGATGCTCTTCAGTCATGGGAAAGAACTCATAGAACAGATAAATGTAGGTAGCAGATAGACAGTACATTCAGAAAAAAAATAGCATACAAAAAGATAATAATCTAACACATTTCAAGTAATTCTTTGATGTCACGTTTGTGGGGTTTTTATACATGCACTGCTGTTTAAAGTTTTGTAATTTGCTGGCCAAGCATGAAGATAACCAAGACCAGTGAATTGCAATAATGCTTTTTAGCTTCTTGTGTTTTTCAATAATGTGTTAAGAGTTGCTTTCTAAACCACTAGTGCAGTGCAGGGGCTTTTTCTGGAAGATACTATCATGCCAAATCAGGTAGGGATCTTGACAGTGTATTTAGAATTAAAAACTCACCTACAGAGATTTAAATCCCATCATTGAAAGGAGACAACAGTAAATTTCAGTGTAATTGGAAGTAGTTTATGCACACATTACGAGTATGAGCAATGAGCACTAACAACAAAATCTACATGTGTAAAACAGGTAATCATGTTTTGTTGAAAGCAGTAGTGAGAGGGAAGCATGGTGTTACAGCAGGCCTAAATGACTTCCTTGGCAGGTACAGGTAGTCCTCAGTTAATGACCATTCATTCAGCAACTGTTCAAAGTTATGATGGTGTTGAATGAATGGTAGTTACAACCAGTCCCTGAAGTTACGGCTGTTGCAGCACCCCCATGGTCACATGATCAAAATTCGGGTGCTTGGCAGCCCACCCGCATTTATGACTGCAGTATGCATTCAACTCCTCCCACCTATCTCCTCCCCACCTCTGTCCTTTTGGCCACCCTGCACTCTGCCACTGCCATCTACCCCTGCTGCCCCCCACTACCTCCAGCTGACCTTCACCATCTTCTTCCTTCCGCTGCTGACAAGACACGCCTGGTCAAGGAAGTGGGAGGAAGAAGATGGCGAAGATCAGTGGGAGGAAGAAGGCAGCAGAGTGCAGGGCAGCCCAAAGGGCAAAGATGGGGAGGGAGATAAGCAGGGGGTGCTGAAGCAGAGGCGAGCGTGGCAGAGTTTCAGAGCCTCATCTACCAAAGGGAGCTTGCCAGACCTGGCCAGGGAGGAGGGAGTGGGATGGAGCTGGCAGTTCATGCAGGGCAGGAGAAGTGTGAGGTCCTTGCCTAATGACCACAACCAGGACTACCAGAACTGCCATTGCTAAGTGGTGCAGTCACATGATGTTTTGCCTAATGACTGCTTTGCTTAGCGATGGAAGTTCTGGTCTCAATTAGGGTCATTAATCGAGGACTACCTGTAATCTGGATCTCCTTTGCCAAATGTGTCAGTAGTCTTGGAATCTTCCAAACAACACTTAATTGGGTGGGGATTCCTCTTCAGTGTAACACATTATAAACTTTCTCTCCTCTTTGATAAGCATGCCGTACAGAGTGAAACAGCTCTATTTAGGGAACATTCTATTCAATTAACAAATTTCACCCATTGAGTGCTACATTGTTTCAAGGGTTTTCATTTCTTGACTAGTTAAGGCTCCCATCGTCATAGTTTGAAAAGAGATTCCTGATAATATGCATGCTACTTTGATTAGGAAAGGAAGAGACACCCCCCCCCCCCAATTTCAAGTACCATGGGGTTTTCTTTCAGATTGTACCGTTACCTGCAAGTTTGGCTTAGGTATGTTTTCAAACATATTAGAATTTTTTTTCCCCCAACATAGCGCCTATCACTTTTGCTGGACATTAATTCTCAATGCATGCTACTTTGATTAGGAAAGGAAGAGACCCCCCCCCCCCCCCAATTTACAGTATCATGGAGTTCTCTTTCAGATTGTACCGTTACCTGCAAGTTTGGCTTAGGTATGTTTTTAAACATATTAGAATTTTTTTTCCCCCAACATAGCGCCTATCAGTTTTGCTGGACATTAATTCTCATTATTCCCAGCCTGTATGGACATTGGCAACATTACTGGGAATGGCACCTGGGAGGCAGCAGGTTTGAGGAATGTGATAGATAGACCAAGAATACTTACCATGTTTGAAAAGTTTGACATATATTATTTCACTAATACTTATAACTTTGTGAGATCTTCAGGGTCTTTGAGGATTAGGAATTATGTTTTATGTAAGGGTCTGTAATGACTTAGATTTTATTTGTTTAGAAAAATTTTCATGCTCCTTATAGAGGAACAATCTGTAAAAAAATGAGAGCTATGTTGCTCATAAATCAGTGGTAATATGAGAGAGACAGAATAGACATAAATAGTCATGAGATAGCAGCTGACAGCTTATCTCATAAATGGAAACTTAGCTCAGGTAGCAGGAAACCTGGAAAGAAACATTTCAAATCATTCAAAGCAATTAATTAATTAACTCACTCTAAATGAGGGTGGGAAATTCCTCTTATGGTTCGCATGATTCTGTATTTACTCCAGACTAGCATTAAAGATTCCTTAGTGAAATGTATGTAATTCTTGCTTCCTTGATTTTCTAAGATGTGTGGGTTTTGACAGGTGGAGTCTATCACTTATGACGGAGCACATAATTTATATGCAGAAAGCCCCAGATACCAACCCCAATTTTCAAATGCCACTGGAAAAAACAGCTGGAGCCTGAAACATTACTTCAAGTCAAGAATCTCTAACACTAGCACAGATGGCCCAATGGTCTGATATCTACGTTCATGCTAAAGAATCAAATTATATTTTTTTCTGTTTACGAACATTTTTCCATCAGCAAAAGTGGAAGGTAGCAAAATTCTTCTTCCCCCTCTCAAGAGCTGCTGTAGATAATTAAAAGATAATTCAGACCCTTTGGGGAAAGGATGGGATGTTGTACGGAAGAGGAACAGTAATCACCTTGGAATGGAAGAAGCCCATTGCTTTACTCAGTACAATGGCCTTAGGATGATGGGACTTTAGATCAAAAGACCTGAAGTTATCCAGTTCAGGAAACTTCTACTACATTATATGATCAAAATTTAAAATGGGTACCATCTTTGCCTAATAGGAAAATACACTCACTCTGCCCCTTAAAAAATGTGAATGGGAAGGATAATGGTTTAGAATTCTTATGATATACACATCAGGGCTGAAAGCTGGATGTTCTTGAAGATTAGCCTCTTGCTTGGTGGATTTATGGAATATGACTTTTGGCATACATGCACATATATATATGTGTGTGTGTGTGGATGTGTGTATGCCAAAAGCCATATATATATATGCATATATCTATGTATTCACATACACAAACACATTACACACAAACATTTATTCGTGGGTCAACATAAGGTTGACAAGATGGGAAAATTTGGTCATTCCGCTTTTATTAATTTTTTAATTGTTTTCTATCCACTTTTCTATTTTTTTCTAGGCACTATTTATATTTTAATTTGGAAGTATCTTCCTTTCAGACAAATAAGATATCTATGTTCTAACAACAGCAGCTAACAATAACAATAATTTATCCTTTATGCATCTTTAATAATTTGTATACAATTTATTACTTTATCTCTGCTGGCAATACTTCTATTGTAAGTTATAACATATTTAAATAATACAGTGTAAACTCAGCTGAATTGAAAGATACTTGGTACCTCATAGAATTTTACTATGTTGATAACCCAGGCACATAGACCAGCTGCTGCGAATGACTGGGTGCGAACATAATTTGGGCTGAAATCTGGGTTTTTCAAATAACGCTCCTTCACCACTTTCAAACAATTCTCTGGGATATGTTCTTTATCGTAGTTAATCAAAGCTTGCAAGAATTCATCAACCTGGAAGGTAGCAATTAAGGTACCTAACTTGTTATAATTCAACAACACTTCAACTCCACAAGCTATTTCACAGTTCAAAAAATTTAAAAATCCAAAGAAATAATGAAGTCAGCCTGGAAAATAGGAGAATAAATATATGAAACATAGGATTATGAAGTATATTTAAAGTTTATCCATCTTCAATTTAGAAGCAATTCCATAATTAAGAAGAAATCAATTGAATGAAACCTTCTCCCCAATACCAATACAAACAAACAAAAATCTTTCTTGGTTCATCTTTCTTTTGTGGGAGGATTTTGAGGAATCCTTTAAAAGAAAACAGAAATTCCTAATTTTTTACACGTGTTTTGCTTAAACTAGTTCAAAAATGTTTCTTTAACTACCCCTGATCTGCCTGGGGAACTACCAAGGTTAACTGCTCAAGATCTTCATTCTACAACTGTTACTTTTGATTAAACCAAATACAGTGGTACCTTGGGTTACGAACGCCTCTGCTTATGAATTTTTCGGGTTACGACCAGCTCCGGCCCCAAAAATTTACCTCGGGATGCAAACCACCTCGAGTTACGAAC